GGGGCGTCTGAGCCTCCCCTACCTGCCTGCTGGCCTGTGTCTCAGGTGATGCCCTCCCAGCCCCGAGCCAGGTGGAGGAGGCCGCCTGTGAGTCTGCTCCCAGCGAGGCACCATCCGATGGGGGTGGGGCCCTCTCCACGCAGGACGTGGGCAGCATCTTCTTGCACAAGTCAGAGCTGGTACCGATGGCAGGCGTACCCACCCGCTGGAGGACTGGAACTCTAGAATTTCTCCGCCGACCTCTGACCCCAGCCTGTTAAGGTCACCTGCATGCTTTTTTTTTTTTCTTTCCAATCCTCACCTGAGGATGTTTTTCCATTGATTTTAATATAGTGGAAGAGCGAGGGTAAGAGGGAAATATCAATCCATGTGAGAGAAGCACATGGGTTGCTTGCCTCCTGCGGGGTGGGCGGGGAGGGGCAAGGGGAGCCTGCAACCCAGGTACTAGGTACAGGCCCTTCACCGAATCGAACCCTGGTCCCTTTGGGCTGCAGGCTCTACCCACTGAGCCAAACTGGCTAGGGCCAGACTGGCTTTTTTGAGTGATAGCAGGTGGGAGGGGTGGTCCTTGTTTGGATGGGACATTCGCAGCCTCCAGCCTGGAGCCCCCCCTGAGCTAGGACTTGCTACCTCCTTCTCCAAAGTGCCACACCCGGCCCCCTGAGCTGCTGCAGCCCGGAATCAGGCCCACGCGTGCGCCCGGACATTGACTGGGGTGCTTTTACAGGAGTCATTTTATGGGGAGTGTTGTTAATAAGCTAATGGGAGAACATGCCGTGGAGGTAATGAAAGTGGAGTCTTCGTAAAGGACTTTGCAAACACTTGTGTTAGTGTGGCATAAAGTTTAATAACATGGCCACTGCCACATCCTCGCCTCCTCTGCTTCTCAGGTGATTTCCCGGCACGGAAATGTCCGTTTTCACAAGGACTCTGCCCCAGGGCAGGGCACCCAGCATGCCCCTTGCCGAGGGTAATTTGAGAGCTGCCTCACGGGACAGCCGGCGTGGCTCAGTGGCTGAGCGTCGACCTATGAACCAGGAGGTCACCGTTCAATTCCCGGTTGGGGCACATGCCCAGGCTGTGGTCTCGATCCCCAGTAGGGTGTACACAGGAGGCAGCTGATCAATGATTCGCTCTCATCATTGATGTTTCTCTCTCTCCCTTCCTCTCTGAAATCAGTAAAAGTATTTTTTTAATTAAAAAGAAAAGAAAGGTAGAAAAAGGATAGATTTCACTGGTGTAGTGGGAGTCCCTGACTAAAAATTTGGAGGAAATAGCATCTGTACTGTTTTTAGTAGCTATTATATCAAAATGGATCTACACCAAAGCCGCCTTATTAGTCCTGCGTATCAGCGTATTTTCCAGTCCACGAATAAATGTGTATGATCTCTCCAAATACTACTTTTTAAAAAGATGTAATATTTTTACTAGAGGCCTGGTGCATGAAATTCGTGCACTTGGGGGTGGTCCCTCAGCCCAGCCTGCGCCCTCTCGCAGTCCAGGAGCCTTCGGGGATGTCCGACTGCTGCGGAGGTGGAGGAGGCTTCCACCACCACTGCAGCACTTGTCAGCCGTGAGCCTAGCTTCTGGCTGAGCAGCACTCCCCCTGTGGGGGCACACTGACCATCAGGGGGCAGCTCCTGCGTTCAGTGTCTGCCCCCGGTGGTCAGTGCGCATCATAGCGACTGGTCGTTCCACCGC